TGTATGGCCATGATATAGCTAGGCTAATTTTATTATTTATATCTTGTATCCTTTAGGAGGGGAGAGAAAATGCCTGTTACTCGTGGTAACTCAGGATTCCAACATGAGCACCTGCCACCGCCACTGCCAAATGAGGAGCCTGACTTGGCGGAATTAAGAATGCTTGTAAAAACATTAACAGACAAGGTTCAAGGATACGAACAAGAGTTGACGGAGCTAAAGAGGCAAAAGGTAACTGAAAATGGAGATAGGGCTCATGTTGAGAGTCATGTGGGGGAAGGCAGTTCCTCACATCCTGCCACTCTGAGAGATCATGAGTCTAGAAGGAAAGAAATTAGGCAGGAGGAACAGAGAGCCCCACCGACCATTACTGATGTGTGGGAAACTGTTAGGAAGTTTAACCCTCCTACGTTTGATGGTAACCTTAAACCATCCGTGGTAGAGGAATGGGTGAAGAGACTCGAATCCATCTTTCGAGTAGTCACATGCACCAGCAATCAAAAAGTACAAGTAGCATTAGTGCTCCTAGTGAAAGGAGCAAGAGATTGGTGGGAGACAGCAGGGCCCAGGGATGATTCTACACTCACCTGGGAGGAATTCAAGGAAAAATTATTCAGGCATTACTTTCCATCAGAGTTAAGGTCTGAGAAGGAAGCGGAATTCCATGCCTTTAAGCAAGGGAACCTCGATGAGGACACATTCATTGCTAAGTTTCAGGAGTTATCTAGATACTCCACGTACCTGCAGTATAGGGATGATTCCGAATGGAAGGCTAAGCGCTTATTGGAGAAGGCTAGACCAGAATTGAGGGAACAATTGGCTCATCTAGATATCCGAGATTATGATGAAATGTGCATAAAACTACAAGTAGTAGCTCGCAGTAAGAAGGAGGTTGAGAGAGAGAAGAGGGGTTATTCATATAGTAGACCCCCAACCTACCCTCGACCCACCGGAGGCATTATGAAGAGAAAAACCATCAGGGTTCGAGTAGCTCATGGAACCAAGGAAGGCAGAAGGGTCCATTTCAAAGGGGCCAAGGACAGAGGAGCTATCATAGTAGTTATTACGGGTCACAGAGGAGCCCAACAGTATCTACCCCTGCCCCGAGTACAGCGAGCTCTCAACAGTGCACTAAATGCGGGCGTCGTCATTTCGGACAGTGCTGGATCTGTTACATTTGTGGGAAACCCGGTCACATTGCAAAGTTTTGTGGGGACAACCAGGGCTCAAATATGAAGAACCCTTCCCAACATCCTACTGTCTCTGGTCGTGTGTTTGCTCTTACTCAGGACACCATGAACTCCCCAGATGCCATTAGAGGTAACATCAAAATCCTTCATCATGATATTGTTGCACTATTTGATTCGGGTGCTACACACTCTTTTATTTCTGAAACTTGTGTAAAGAACCTTGATTTGCCTGTGTGTATTTTACCTTTTGATATGAATGTGTCTACTCCTGCGGGAGAATCTGTGAGGACCGCTAAGGCATGCCTTAACCTAGTAGTCGAGTTTAAAAATAGGAAAACAACTATGGACTTAATTATCCTACCACTGAGAGGTATGGATGTAATTGTGGGAATGAATTGGATGGCTGCAAATGGTGCTATCCTAGATTGTAGAGAGAGGAGTGTGTCTTTATCTTCTTTGTCGGTGACCCCAGTCGAGACTCAAGATCATGTTTTCTTGTCGGCGGCGCAAGTTGATAGATGTATGAAGAAGGGTTGCCAGGCCTACATGGTTTTCTTCTCTATCCAAGCTGAGATTGATGAAGGCGTGAAGAATATCCCAATTGTCAAAGAATTTGCGGATGTATTTCCAGACGAAGTCTCCGGTTTACCCCCAAAGCGCGAGGTAGAGTTCTCAATTGAATTGGTACCCGGTACAGGGCCAATTTCTAAGGCTCCTTATCGGATGTCCCCTTCAGAGTTAGCAGAACTGAAAAAGCAAATCGAAGAGCTACTTGAGAAGGGTTTCATCAGACCGAGTGTTTCACCTTGGGGATCTCCAGTCCTTTTTGTAAAGAAGAAGGACGGAAGCCTCCGATTGTGCATTGATTATAGACAATTGAACAAAGTAACCATCAAGAACAAATATCCACTTCCGAGAATCATGATTTGCTGGATCAGCTTGTGGGATCCGCAGTTTTCTCAAAGATTGACTTAAGGTCAGGGTACCACCAATTGAGAGTGAGAGCAGAGGATATACCTAAGACAGCATTTCGGACGAGATATGGGCATTATGAATTCATGGTGATGCCGTTTGGACTTACGAATGCTCCTGCGGTATTCATGGATTACATGAATAGGATCTTTCGACCCTATTTAGATAAGTTTGTAGTAGTGTTTATTGATGACATTCTTATTTATTCAAAGGATGAGGAGGCTCATGGTGAACATTTAAGAATCGTCTTGCAAGTTTTGAGGGAACATAAGCTTTATGCCAAATTAAGCAAGTGTGAATTTTGGCTCCAAGAAGTAAAGTTTTTGGGCCATGTTGTGTCCAGAGATGGAGTTGCGGTGGATCCTAGCAAGATTGATGCAGTGATGAAGTGGGAACAGCCAAAATCTGTTACAGAGATACGAAGCTTTTTAGGTTAGCAGGTTATTATCGTCGCTTTATTAAGGGATTTTCGCAAATTGCGATGCCCTTAACTAAGCTAACTAAGAAGGATGCCCCATTTATTTGGACTGACAAATGTGAAGCTGCTTTCCAAGAATTGAAAAAGAGGTTAACCACTACTCCAGTATTGACTATTCCTGACCCTGTGGTGCCGTACACTCTGTACACTGATGCTTCTTTAAAGGGTTTAGGATGTGTTTTGATGCAAAATGACCGAGTGGTTGCCTATTCCTCCAGACAGTTGAGACCACACGAGGAAAATTACCCTACTCATGATTTGGAGTTAGCTGCAGTTGTGTTTGCTCTAAAGATATGGAGACACTACTTGTATGGATCTAAGTTTCAAATCTTCAGTGACCATAAGAGCCTGAAGTATTTATTTGATCAAAAAGAGCTTAATATGAGGCAGCGACGATGGATGGAATTTCTAAAGGATTATGACTTTGAATTACATTACCATCCGGGTAAGGCTAACGTGGTAGCTGATGCCTTAAGTAGAAAGACTATTCATGCTGCACATTTGATGGTTCATGAATATCATTTATGGAACAGTTTTCATGATGTTCCAGTAGATGTGATTGAACATCAAATGGCCGCACTCCAGGTAGCAGACTTTGAGAGCAAATTCTGGGAAGATCTCAGAGTCTCACAGCAAGTGATGACTACTTAAGGAATATAAGGAAGGAGATAGTGGTAGGTAAGGCCCAAATTTTACCATCTCTGAGGACACAGTGATGAAGTATAAAGGTAGAGTTTGTGTACCTAATGATCCAAGATTGAGGAATATCCTTTTAGAAGAAGCTCATAGGAGCAAATATACAATTCATCCCGGTATAACTAAAATGTACCATGATTTGAAGCGAGGTTGGTGGTGGCCAGGAATGAAGAAAGATGTAACTGAATTTGTTTCTAGATGTTTAACGTGTCAGAAGATAAAGATAGAACATCAGAAGCCAGCTGGAACACTGCAACCGTTAGATATTCCAAAGTGGAAATGGGATGATATTTCTATGGATTTCATCACTGGACTGCCAAGAACACCCTCGAGTAAGGATGCTATTTGGGTGATAGTAGACCGACTCACCAAATCAGCTCACTTTTTGGCGATCAAGTTTACCTCTACATTAGAGAAATTTGCTGAGATATACATTAAGGAGATAGTTAGACTTCATGGTATACCCTCTAGAATTGTGTCAGATCGTGACCCAAGGTTCACTTCAAACTTTTGGGGTGCGCTACAGAAGGCTATGGGTACCAGACTGAGTTTTAGCACCGCATACCACCCCCAAACAGATGGACAAACAGAGAGGACGATCCAGACTTTGGAGGACATGTTGAGAGCTTGTGCCATTGAACTACCAGGTAGTTGGGATAATCATTTGCCATTAGCTGAATTTGCTTATAATAACAGCTATCATTCTAGTATTGGGATGGCGCCTTATGAGGCCTTGTATGGAAGGAAGTGTAGATCGCCTTTATGTTGGACAGAATTAAGTGAGAGGAGTATCATTGGTCCAGAAATTGTAGAGCAAACCACCCAGAAGATTGCAATGATTAAGCAAAAATTGCTAACCGCTCAGAGCCGACAGAAGAGCTATGCTGATAAGAGGAGACGGCCGTTAGAGTTTGAAGTAGGAGATCATGTATTTTTGAAGGTTTCTCCAGTGACAGGCATTGGTAGATCCATTAAGGCAAAGAAATTGACACCTAGATTTATGGGCCCGTATGAGATCTTGGAGCGAATTGGATCTACTGCATATAGAGTTGCATTACCTCCACAGATTGCAGGTATCCATAATGTGTTCCACGTATCACAGTTGAAGAAGTACAACCCGGATCCCTCCCATGTTATTGAACCTGAAGAAGTAGAATTGAGGGAGAATTTGACCTTTAGATCCGAACCGGAGCGAATTGAGGACTTTAAGGACAAACAACTACGCAATAAGACCATCCGACTCGTGAAGGTGATTTGGAAGGGTGGAGCCCTAGGTGATGCTACTTGGGAGACCGAGGAGAGTATGAGGCGAGATTATCCACATTTATTTGCTTAGGTACATAGTTTCTAAGCTTATCTATTAAATTTTGAGGACAAAATTTCTAAAAGGAGGGGAGAATTGTAACATCCTGATTTTTATATAATAAAGAAATTGTGGAATTTAGGTTTTGAGGAAAAAAATGATAATAATAGGAATTTATATTATTTGAGGTTATTTAGAAATAATATTATGATTAGGTATTTAATTATGAATTTAAAAATTTAAATTTAAAACCACATAAGCAATATTTAGTTAAGATATAATACATAAATAATTTTTTTTTATGTGTGTGTTAAAAAAAAAAAGAGAAGGTAGAAGGAACAAAAAAAAGGGGGGGGGAAGGTTGTTGTTTCTAAGTCCCACATTGGTTAGATGAGGGAAGAGAAGAGGTGCCTTCATGTATAAAAAGGAGGGGGTGTGTGCATTAGGAAGCATGAGAGGCTAAGATGCAATTTAGAGAAAATTGCAACTTTGGGCCCAAAGGTTTGAATAATTAAATTCAAACCTATAGTTTTTTTTTTAATATAATTTTGGGACTCACAATCCCATTTTTATATTATTTTTCTCTCTTCCTCTCACGTTGCTCGGCGTTTTCTCGCAAGGGGGGATTATTTTCTTTTTTCTTCAGGTATGTTCTAACTTTCCTGTTTAGATTAGCATTTAAAAATTTATTTAATTACAAAATTAATTTTATAGTTATTTTCTAAATAATATTAGCTTTCTAGTGATATGATTATTTTGTAGGATAGAGTAAATATTTTGATTAGGATTTTTCTATAGGATAGTTAATCTGATGATATGATGGATTAAAAATATAGGTTAAAATTCTTAGGGATATAGTAAATATTATAGAATATTTTTTAAGGTTGAAACTCATGTTTAAGAATTTGAGTTAAAATCTAGATCTATATGGTTGAATTTATGTGGAATCTGAGATGTAGGGATAAATCTATGATTATTAAATATTTATTTAAGTATGAATAGGTATTTTTGAGGTTATAGAAAGGTGATTTGAGGCTTCAGGATAATTCTAAAATTTTTAATTTATTTTTGGATGAATTTTTAGAATGTAGAAGGATGAAATTGTGATACTAGAAGTGAATTGAGGATAAAAAAAAATAGTTCATTAGGGTACGAGAATTTTAGAAAAGAATTTGGGAAGTTAAATAAGGCATAAATCTTAAATTAGTGTTAATATGGACTATAGATTTAAGACTTTCTAACTCTTTAAATTAGAGTTATTTATTTTAATGTAAAATTAATATATAGTATTGTGAAATAATTATGTAGATTATATTGACAAAGATAGTGGTGAAAAAGGAGTTGTGAAGGGGAACTTGTTATTCAAGACACAAGGTAACCATTATTAATGTGTTGTGATGAGTGTGTTTGTGAATGGTTATGTGTTGTTTTGTTGTTTGGAAAAATTATGAATTATTGAAAATAAATACTGTATATACTTGTTTGAAATTATTGCCAAGTGGGTTAAAAATTTATTTTTTTTTATCATGATGAGATATTATTGTTCGGATATATTCTTGTTTGGATATTTGAATGATGCATGACTTGTCAGGGTATTTTAATGTATGGTGTTAATGGGAATTTCTGTTCGGTTAATTATTACCACGTGGTAAGCCCTCATTGGACCCAATGAGTGGCGTGTCGCTTGGTCCAACTCACCTTTGGCCGGGTGATTTGGCGTCCGAGCATGGTGAAAGGAGGAGATAAGGTGCAGTCATGCAATTAAATACTTGTTCGGTTTGTTTGAAAATATTGTTTGGTTAAATGTTTTGTGTGCCCACTTAGCAATCGCATGATTAGTTACATCCGCATACATCATTACATATTAATTTTTAGTTACTGGGACTTTTAAGTCTCATTCCCCGTGGTTAATATTTTTACAGGAGCGAATCCGGCCGAGAAAGTACTAGAGGTGTAATTATGGTGTATGAGACACCATCTTTTACGTTGCCTCTTATTTTGGATTATACAATGTATCTTGTGCCAACTTAGGACATATCTTGTCTATGGAGCATGTAAACTCTAATCCTTTTTATTAAATGTATTTATATGTCCAAGAGGATTATGTCTGTCCCTTTTGATTCATGACCTAATTTAAATAACATGCTATGAGGATCATGTCTGTCCCTCATGGTTCTAATTGCTTTTTGCGATATTTTAAGACCTGTGGTATATTGTCTTGGATGTATCATGGTAGAAATTTTTCTACCATGATAAGGGTATGATAAGGGTTCAATGAAAAAAAAATGATTTCTTGAATTAATAATTTGCGAAAAATCGGTTTGTAAATTTGAGGGTGTTACAGATTGACTGCTTTACATATGAGAAATCTTTTTTATGCACATCTTTCTTTCTAGTCATTAGATAAAATGCATGGTGAGGATAACTCTACTTCCCAGCCGGTGCACCATTTTCACCATATATAATTCGTATCTGATATAGATTTAACTTTATTAATAAATCCCCATAACAAAGAGCCCATAGAGTCACGGCAGGCTACTCCAACACAAGCATTCTCAAACTTTGCCAGAATAAGAGCCATCACAATTTCTTTTAATATAGTCCGTGGGAGCTAGTTTCCAATGATGGACAGAGTTCACAATTAGGAAGAACAATGACTTCACAAGGATTAGTCATGACATGGTTAAAATGGACATCATTCCTGTGTTTCCAGATAGCCAGTGATGGATCCAGAAAAATTAGATAGTAGAGGCAAATTTGTTACACAATATAAATGTTAATTATTTTTTAAAAGATTTAAAATTAAAGAAGTTTACTTTTTAAATTATTTCTCCCTCAATCTATTTAAGATTATAAAATATAGATAAAATTCGAGTTAAATAATTTTTTTAGGGGATTAGAGAGGCCTTCTTTGGGGAAAAGTGAAGTTTTCCTTTTAGAATAGGGAGCAATTGAAAAATTTTGGGTTATTATGTGCAATTTTTTTTAATCTTGTGGTGGCAATTTTCCCTATCAGCCATCACGTAGATACATCCCTGCAGATAGCCCATAAGATACAGCAAATGAAGGCTATATCGTACTCAGAAATACTACCTTTCGAATGCCAAAGACTTATTCACCATGCATAACTCAAAGCTTGTGACATTATAACATTCAAACTTCATTCCAGGGTTGCACCCGAACCAAACACGCCGTACCCAGGGACACAAGAAAAACAAGCATTCTACAATTTCTGCTTCAGATTCATATATGAGGCATGACCGCTTGCCCTAATGCTTTCTTGTACAAAATGCATTAGGCCTTTCAAGAGAATTTATCACAAATCTTATGAAAATATGTATATGTTGTTGTTAAAAGTGGAGCATTAACTTGTAACTTTTGTTCAAGGTTTTTTTTTCTTTTTTAAATTTAACAAGTTAAGTTTCAGCTTTTGACAATAACATATACATATTTTCATAAAACAATATCTTATGTAAGACTTGTAAGCTCTTCTCGCGATAAATTCCATTGAAAGGATTTTAAATATCATTCTCCTTTTAGTAAATGTGACTGATAAAATGTTGTATGCATTATAGCTTTATTAAGATCACTAGCTGTATGCATTATACTCGCCATCATTGGCTGCTGCCCACATGAACTTATCCTTCAGAGTAGTCTTGAGAATGGAATTTTAAGAATTGCCAAGAGCATATCTCCACCATTTTTAATTATAAGAAAATTTTAGGGATAAAAATATTTTCTTAAAATGCCCATAACCAATGAAAAGAGAAAACTTAGCCCACATTGATAAGCCTTAATTAAGGGGAAAAGCGGGAAGATGGGGGAAAAAATGAAGTATATATCAAGTGGGACCAAGGCAAGCTAACACAAGGCTTGGCTCATATAAATTAGGTTATTTTGTATTATTAAAAAAAAAAAAAGGATGAAGTTTATGCCAAGTGGGATCAAGGCAAGCTAACACAATGCTTGGCATTCAACCTAGACCGTTGCACATCCCTGAGCGATCTCCATCCCCCACCCTTTTGGTCTTCTTTTTAATTGTTTTAAAAAATTAGAAAAATAAAAATTAAAAGAAATTTTTATGATACAATTAAAGAGACCACAGGTTATAACTGATGAATATTTCTTTTCTATTTTTAATTTCTCACCATGGATTACAATCTTTAATCTTGTGTTTTAATCTTTTTCTGTAATATAATCCTTTCTTTTCCCTACAAAAAATAAATAGTAAAAATAAAGACAACAAGTGGTATTCCACCAAGTAAGATTGAATGTATAAACAATACTATTATCTTCTATCAACAATTAAATCTTTAAATACAATTAAAAAGAGAAAAAGAAAAGATTAAAAATCGCACCTGAAATTAGTAGCAGTGGCCTTGGCATGAATAAATACAAGAGCGAGAATGACAAATAAAGATCTCATATGAAAATTAATGTCAAATTAGGATCTTTTTATAACTTTCTAAATTCAGTACTCTTTCTCCTATGTTTTAATACTAAACAAATATTGATTTGGCATTGATCTTCAATCTTTACTTGTCATTCCCTTAATACAACAATACAATCTTGTCAGTTATGCATCTAGATAGCTCAAAGTGGAATATCTTTTAAGTGAAGAAGCGTCAATAAGATGAGAACACAAGTCCAGAACTTTTCATAAACAAGAGTTCTTCTTCCTCCTCCTCGGGGCCCCATTTATACTCGCCTCTCTGACAGCAAAATCTCTTAAAACAAGCTTCACTTCTTCCACCACCCCAAGTTTTCGGAACCACCGAGCCAGTATTTCCGAAGCTTCTTTTTGAACCACAATACCATCTCTCTCCAATTCTATCAGAAACTCTAACGCTTCATCAAGTTTGTTTTCCTTTTCATACGCAACCAACACTAAAGCTATGCATTTATCTGAAGATTCAATACCTGCTCTCCTCATATTCTCAAATGAGATTCGAGCTTTTCCACTTTGCCCCGCCATTCCATAGGCATTGATAACAAGCCCACACATCTTATCATCAGGGGAGATACCGGCCAACTGGATTGCATTGAAAATCCTTTCGGCTCCTTCAGTATCGCCGGCCATAGAGTAGGATCTAAGTAATGCTTTGTAAACCTCACTGCCTGCGTGAATCTCTTGTACATACATTTCTGTAAGTAAAAATTCCCCTTGTTGAGGCATGCCAGCTCTGATATACGCCATTATCATTGAGCCATATGATCTTTGATCTAAAGGTTCACCAAGCAATCTGATCTCTTCAAAATATTCCTTGGCCTTCTCAAGATGATCTACCTTACTGTACATGTGAACCATGGTAGTCAAAATCACTTGATCACAGATGAAGCCCCTTTGCTTCATAGCTGTAAGAAGATTTTCAGCATCTCGAAGTCGATTCTGTTTGCCATAATAATGGATTATCTTTGTATAATCACGAGCATTGGCTTCAAATGATTCTTCAAGAAGAGCATGTTCCGCCACCTATGCCACAGTAAGTTTCAGTTCAGGCTACAAGGAACAATAAAGTTTTATTCAAATGCAAGCACATGCGTGAAGTTTTTTCCAAGAGTCAAATTTGGATGGCAACAATCAAAAGGAATACTACTATTACATGACGTGAATGTGAAATTCAAATTTGTATTCAACAGACAACATGGGGCTAAAGGAATCCTCCACCAAATATATTTGTAGGAAATAATTAGTTCCCTACGACAGCAGAAACTTGTGTGACATTATATATCACAGAAGAGACTCCAAGGCAGAGAAGTCTAGGAAGCGCGGATATGCTGATTTTGGAGGATACGCACTGGACATGAACACTCACTACATGCAAGTACGTCCATGTCCGACACGTTTTTTCTTTTTTTTTTTTTTTGGCAACACGGCAGCACATGGCTTTGACACAGCTGACATGGCTTCGACGCGAGACACTGCATTTTGTGTAAAAAAATTACCTAAAGCCCTAATTTGCAAAGCATCCAGCAGATTGAACAATTTTTAGATCCTCCATTCTCTCCCAACTCTCAATCGTCCGTCGCTCTCTTCTTATTGAGTCCCAACTCCCAAATTGCACCGTCGTGCTCCTCCACCGACACTTGGAACACACCACCATGCCTTCTTGTTTGCACCATCATGAACCCATTCTTGGTTGCTCAACTAAGTTGCACAGATACAAGTATGAGTATTGTATATGATACGGCATGATACGACAAATTTTAAAAATTTTAGGATATGGGTATGGGGATATAAATTTTTTTATATAAATGTAAGCAACACTTCAACTATTAAAAGTGCAAAGCAATTCAACAAAATACAAAGCATTACCAAATACATTACATTTCATCATCCTCATTTTCCATTATGTTACTAGGCTCTCGTATAATTTCTTGCTCTAAAATGGGTTCATCAAGTGACAAGCTTGCCATCTCAAGGCTATTGACAGCATCAGATGGCTACACAGTGTCTCCACCAATATCCAACATTCTGCTCTATCTAATGTGATACTTTTCACTCTTCCTTGATGAGACAAAGAGTAGTTACACACATAAACTAAGTTTTCAGCTCTTTTAGGAGTGATTTTGTTCCTCTTCAATGAGTGAACAAAGGAGTAAGTACTCCAATTTCTTTCACAACAAGAGGAAGAGCATGGTTGACCTAAAAGTTTTAATGCAAGCCTTTGAAGAATAGGGGTGAAAGAACCATAATTTAACCACCACTCTTTAGGTTCTAAATTCCACCTATTTTGCAAGCAATCAAATGACGAATAAAAGTCTAAATTTTCAGCAAATTTTAAAAACTCTTAGAAGACCATCTTTCTCTCCTCAAGATCAGTAAAGTCCCTATGAAGGCACTTTACTCTCTCAGATGATATTTCATTATCTAAATGAGGAGGAACTCTATTGAGAGTACCTTCAAGCCATGAAGGTGTATAATACCTATAACATTTGCAAATATATATATATATATAGATATTAAGAACAAAACTAAATAATTAATGAATGATAAACATTGCAATAGTACTATTACTAAATTAGAATTCAATGAATGTGCAAGACAATGCAAGGGAGCGCAACTCTTTGTCCATCAATCAATAATGATTCTATAAACAACATCATAAAAACCTGAATACTTAGAAAACTTGTTATTCTCATGCTAGTAAATGGACTCCTTCACTTGCTTTATCATTGAATCCCACATTTCATAAATCAAATGAAGTATAGGCTTATTTGTATCAGCCATTCAAAGCATGTCATAAATTGGGCTAGTGAAGGAAAGTATATAACCCATCTTGTCCCACCAAGAGTCATTAAGAATCAAATTTTTTAACTATCGTTGCCTTTTTAATATCATCTTCCTTATAAGCATTCCATACTTCACTTATCACCATTGAGCGAAAGGAAGTTTTAATGTGCTTGAGTCTTTTGAGGATAACAATTGTGGATGTAAATCGGGTGTCAACTATGGCAAGTAATTTTAATGGCACAAATCCACTAAAAATTGCCAATCGTAAAAGAATGACACATGCTAAATGTTCTAATAAAAAAAGCATCATCCTTAACCTCCACCATCCAATGACATTCGTCACACACAATTTCATTTGCCTCTGTGTTCTTTGCCGCACATATATTTTTTAACGCAAGATTGAGTGTATGCACAACACATGACGTTCAAAAAATGGTGGGACACTCGACCTCTACAACTCTTCCTGCTAATTTGCAAACAAATGCATTATCAATGATTATTTGAACCACAATCTGAGGCTTGAGCTCTTCAATCACTTGACGCATCAAGTCAGCCATAAAATGTCTGTCTTTATGGATTCACATTCATAAAATCAATCAATTGCCTTCAAAAACATGGGATCCCTGTCAAATATAGCCATAAAATTAATCAAATGCCTCCTTTGAGCATCTGTCCAACCATCTATGACTATACTCACTCCTTTCAAACTCCAAGTCCCTTTAATTGGCTCAAGTAACTTTCCTGTGTGAGCTCTTTCTCGTTGCAACAATGAGCCCCATAATGCATTATAACCAGGAGGTTTGTATCAAGGAATGATATTATTGGCAGCATATTGATTTGAACTGATAAAATATGAACGGACGACAAAACCTGGAATGGACGCAAACAAGCTAAGCAACTAGGAAGCACGGATACACACCAAACACGGGCACTCACTCTATGCAAGTAAGTCTGTGTCCAACACCTTTTTTTTTTTTGGGACGACACGACTTCAATGCGAGACGCTGCATTTTGCATAAAAAAAATTGCCCAAAGCCCTAAATTGCAAAACATCCGACAGATTGAACCATTTTCAAATCCTCTATTCTCTCCCAACTCTCAATCGTCCGTCACTCCCTTTTCACTGAGTCCCAACTCCCAAATTGTGCCGTCGTGCTCCTCTACAGACCCTTGGAACACGCCGTCATGCCTTCTTGTTTGCACCACCATAAACCCATTCTTGGTTGCTCAGCTCATCGACGTCCATTGCAGGTTCTGTCACCCATGACCTTCACTTCATTGGTCTTCTCTCTCTTGTGTCTCATGTTGAAACTGAAAGCTGAAATGAACTTATCATTCTATGTTGCTCGATGCTCACTGGTCTTCATTTCAGCTCACTGCTCACTTGTTTATTACTTATTATTTTATTATGTTGCTCAATGCTTACTGCTCAGCTGACATGTTCTGTTCCTCTTGACAATTTGATTATTATTATTAATTTAATATGTTGCATTCCATTTTCCATATGCATAGAACCTATGCCCACTTGCTTTCTATTTTTTTTTTATTATCATATTATGTTGCTCAATTTGCATTTCAATGGTTCTAGTCCTATTTGATTTTAGTTTATTTCAATTTTTTTCCTTTTTTTAATTAGATATGGCTACAACTAGTAGTTCTAGGGGAAGCATTAATTCAACAGCTCATTATTCTACTATAAATAAGCTACAAAAAGATGAAACTCCCTTATGGTGTTATGTCACTTTTGTGAATAAAAATAGATACACCTAGGGAAAATAGATATTTGAGGTATAATTATTGTAACAAAGAATTTAATGGCTCTTACAATAGAGTTAAAGTTGCACTTGTTAAAAACTTCCGACAAAAGAATTGTTATATGCCCGAAAGTTGATGAGTATTGTCTAGCTGAGATGAGAAAATTACAAGATGCTGATGATAAGACCAAGCCAAAGCAAGTGCCATTACCACCCCCAACTAAAGGTTCATTAACCTTAAATCCTATGATAAGTGAATTTAACCAAGGCAAGACAAGGGCAGTAAATCCATTAAAAAAAGCCTTCCAACAAAGGGCTAGAGAAAATCTACAACTGAAATTGCAAGAATGTTACATACAGGTTGTTTATTTTTTTCATTTGGCACGCAATCCATATTTTACCAGTTCGTATCAATATGCTGCCAATAATATCATTCCTTGATACAAACCTCCTGGTTATAATGCATTACGGGGCCCATTGTTGCAAAAAGAGAGATCTTACACAGAGAAGTTATTTGAGCCAATTAAAGGGACTTGGAGTTTAAAAAGAATGAGCATAGTCACAGATAGTTGCACAGATGCTCGAAGGAGGCCTTTGATTAATCTTATAGCTGTATCTGACAGGGATCCCATGTTTTTTAAGGCAATTGATGAATCCAAAGAACATAAAGACAAACATTTTATGGTTGACCTGATGCATCAAGTGATTGAAGAGTTCAAGCCTTAAAATGCAGTTCAAATAATCACTGATAACGCATCTGTTTGCAAATTAGCAGATAAACTTATAGAGGCCGAGTATTCCACCATTTTCTGGATGCAATGTGTTATGCATACGCTCAATCTTACATTAAAGAATATATGTGCAACAGAGAACACAGAGGCAAATGAAATTGTGTATGACGAATGTCATTGGATAGAGGAGGTTAAGGATGATGTTATTTTTATTAGAACATTTATCATGTGTCATTCTATTTGATTGGCAATTTTTAATGAATTTGTGCCATTAAAATTACTTGCCATAGCTGACACTCAATTTACATCCACAATTGTCATGCTCAAAAGACTCAAGCTCTTTAAAACTTCCCTTCGCACAGCGATAATAAGTGAAACGTGGAATGCTTATAAGGAAGATGATGTTGGAAAGGTAGCCATAGTTAAAAATTTGATTCTTAATAACTCTTGGTGGAACAAAGTGGATTATATACTTTCCTTCACTAGACAAATTTATGACATGCTTCGGATGGCTAATACAAATAAGTCTATACTTCATTTGATTTATGAAATGCAAGATTCAATGATAGAACAAGTGAAGGAGTCCATTTACAAGCATGAGAATAAAGAGCTTTCCGAGTATTCAAGTTTCTATGATGTTGTTTATTGAATCATTATTGATCGATGGACAAAGAGTTGCACTCCCCTTCATTGGCCTGCACATTCATTGAATCCTAGGTTAGTAATAGTACTATTGCAATGTTTATCATTCATGAATTATTTAGTTTTGTTCTTAATACTTTTTTTTGGCAAATGTTATAGGTATTATACACCCCGATGGCTTGAAGGTGCTCCCAATAGAGTTCCTCCTCATTTAGATAACGAAATATCATCTGAGAGAGTAAAGTGCCTTAGGCACTTTACTGATCCCAAGGAGAGAAAGATGGTCTTCCAAGAGTTCCCAAAATTTACTGGAAGTTTAGACTTTTATTCATCATTTAATTGCTTGCAAAATAGGTAGAATTCAGAACCTAAAGAGTGGTGGTTAAATTATGGTTCTTTCACCCTATTCTTCATAGGCTTGCATTGAAACTTCTAGATCAACAATGCTCTTCCTCTTGTTGTGAAAGAAATTGGAGCATTTATACCTTTGTTCACTCATTGTAGAGGAACATAATCACTCCTAAAAGAGCAAAAGACTTAGTTTATGTACATACTAATCTTCGTCTCTTGTCAAGGAAGAGTGAAAAGTATCACATTGGGTAAAGTAGAATGTTGGATATTGGTGGAGACACTATGTAGCCATCTGATGCTGTTAATAACTTTGAGATGGCAAGCTTGTCACTTGATGAACCCATTTTAGAGCAAGAAATTATAGGAGAGCTTGGTAACATAATGGAAAATGAGGATGATGAAATGTAATGTATTTGGTACTACTTTGTATTTTGTTGAATTGGTATGCACTTTTAATAGTCGAAGTGTTGCTTACATTTATATAAAAAAATTTATAAATCCCATACCTATGTCCTAAAATTTTTAAAATTTGCCGTATTATGCCATATCATATCCGATACTCATACCCGTATCTATGCAACCTAGCAGAGCACATGTGAGACAAGAAATGCAAAGCTCTTTTTCACTAAAGGTGATAGATGGCTTGAACCTCCCTTTAAAAGGTGAAAGAAAGCTCAGGTCACCCTCACCAAATTAAGCAGATGGGACCCAAGCTATTCTTGGGTTAGTGGGGAACAACCGAACTCTTTTCTTCTCAAGTCACTATCACCAAGTTTTGGCTCATTCCATTGGTGTTACTTTAGTCCATTTGGGATCTGATGTAGAAACAAACTTGTAAGTTCAAATGTTTTACTATGACAAAAATTTGGTTCTTAACAATTTATTGGATAAACATGAGACTGGTTTACTAGTTCTATTTTAACTCTAAATGTGAATTCATATGAAAACACAGCATGATTGATGTATGCAGAAGAACTTTGATGGGCAAACTCTATTAATGATATGTCCAATGATTGGCTACATGGCTAGGTGAGTAGGCATGTTTGACAAGTAACCATGATGTGTTGAGGAAGCCACAACAGGATGCGGTCAAGCGATCAAGCTTGCATCTCCATTTGCTCATGAATGTCAACAACCAGTTAACCACCTATAGTCACTGGGTATTAAATCCTTGAGAGAGAGCTCAGCAGATTAGCCAAGTATAGTAGAATCTAAGTGAGCTAAGAATACACCTACTCTCTGCCTAGCCACAGCAGAGTCCACAGACCTAGCTTTTCTTTCCCTCAAATATATTTCATGTTGCAGCTAGAGAACACCATCAAATATATATTTCAAGCCCCCCAAAAACAAAGTACAAGTGCTTTTAAAAGTAATTGGAACTTCTATAAAAAAGAACAAAATCAAAATAGCCCACTGCAACTTTAAAAATCCAACCAACAATGAGATTAGGACATTGACTGGCAAGAAATTTCAAGTTTTGGAAAATAGTCCCTACAATTCACTAAGTAAAAGAAAGGAACAGAAAACAGGTCAATCAGATGTGGGAACCATATTCCTCAGCAAAGTTATAAATGGCTGCATAATAACATGCTATGTTTATCAGACATAGATACCAAAGATGGTATCAGACACACCATAGCCCCTTGATTGAACCAACAAAACTAATATCCAGTACATGGGGAAGGGAAAAACCAACGGAAAAATATGGAATCCCAATAAGGCAAAAATGAAAAAAACAAAACAAAACAAAACAAAAAATTGACCAAAGAATTAAGAACTAATATTGAAAATAACAATGATTTTTTTAAAAAAAATTATTTAATTAAATAATAAATAATCAACAGCAGTATAAGAATGTAGAATCTTAACATGCAGCTGGCACAAATTACATCTTATTTGAATAAAGTTCACATTTATCAAAAGCTGAAGTTTATCAATGGGATTTAACCACATATATTTTCCATTCCATATTCAGAAATTTCCATATTGTCCGAGAAATTAGATAAGGATATCAGCTCTCTGAAGAAGGAATGTTTAAACTCCTATCCTGAACATCTTACTTCCCTTTATTTCAAAACAAATTCATGAGATGCCAGAAATAACTGGAGGCGGAAGCATCATTACACGTGAGATGGAGAAGCAATGTGTCAATTTCCAAATACATTCAGCAGGTAGAAAACAAACAAAATAGACTCTTTAAATGAAATAAGATGAAAATCACCTGCTGGTAAAAGGGATGATCCATCGTCTTCAACTCTTTAAGAACAGAAAGCCAGTCAGCTCTGATAGGCATCATGATCCTCACCCAAGCTCCCAACAATTCAGATATGTTGCCTTTCTCTGGAGAAAAGCATATAATCTGTCTCATCAGGGCCTTACAACGTTTTTCCATCTTAAAAGGCAGTTGAGATATGGCCTTTTTTTGTGCTTCTGTAATGTCATGGCCTATCTCAACCCATCTAAACCCTCTCTGATTTTCTTTTTGCAACTCTGTTTTTACAGTGCCCTCCATACTGACCCTAACTATCACTGAATCAAACTGGTGTTTATGAAAATCACAATATCTGGGTTTTTGAAATAATGAATTTCCACCAATCTGATTGTGATTAAACTTGACTGTATCATTGGTTATTGAGAGACTTGAGAAGCAACAATTGGACAATAGCAGATAGGAACTGGTTCCCATCATTAAAGTAATACAGAACCTTGTGATCTCAGATATTCATCCTGAAATGGCAAGCTGGAGGAGCATAAGGAGAATCATCTAATCCATGAATCAAGAGGAGGGAGAGAGCACAATAAAGTAAAGCCACAGCCTATTGGCTAAGAAGAAAACTCAGGAGCATACCTACCTTCCTAAAATGTAGCCGATGTGCAGGAAAGAAACAAACCCCCAACAGTCGCCCTTCTCTCATCTCTTTGATCTAAAGCACTCCATTTAGTGAGACACTCAAAAATGCTTCTAAAATAAGAAAATAAATAAATATATCTACACAAAGTGAAGAAAATTGCCTATAAAATATATTTGTAACAAGAAGATTCCATGAAAACTAAATAAATCATTTTGGAGCATGTGTGTTTGTGTGCTTGTGTGTGTGTGTGTGTGTGTGTGTGTGTGGTGTGAGAGAGAGAGAGAGAGAGAGAGAGAGCATTTTATTAATGTTGAAATCAAAACTTTTGGTCAGCAATTCATAAATGACAATTTGGAGTCTCGAGGTCAAAAGAAAATGACAATTTGGAGTCCTCTCACTTTCTTTCCCTCTAGAAGTGTTATTTTAATTCTATGTAGTATATACTATAAGCAAATTTATACCAAAAGAGAGAGTGCGCAAAATACAAATCAGATCCCTTCTTTCAAAACCCATTTGGTGAAGCACCCAAAACCATTGCCCCCTCCAAACCACCAAGCCTTCTTCATGCTCATGTCGTTCTATAAACTAGTAGGGCAAGCCAATTCTAATCCAGATTTTCTGAATCAGATACTATTTTTCATCAGTTTACATGTACTTCTGTGAAGAAAAAGGGGGAAACACTTGTACAGTTCATGTTTATAAGAAGAAATTAACACCACGCATAACAAACGAATGGACGCAAGTTTTACCCAAATTTAATAGCTCACTGGTGAGATGGGCTTCACTGTAAAGTTCAGAGTTATACGATTATGTTAATAGATTTACATGTTATTTATTCTTATTTCATTTCCAAATGACCCCTCAGACCAAAGAACAAAAATAAAGTTACAGCAGTAATTGAAAAGTCTACACAGATAAGCAGAATGCAGAATATAATCTACTAGATAATGAAAGTGAACAACTTTCTTCTCTTGTCATAAAATTTCCAATACAAAGAACAAATGATCCCTCTCTTCAAGTCGGATTCCCTTTCTCCTCACAAAACTTACTCCCTCATTACTTATCACAACAGAAGCATTCTATCAAAGTTCAAATAAATTGAGCATCCAAGAACATTGGGCTTAGTAGCTTGCATATCGAATAGAGTAGACAAACCAGAGAATAAAGGGGAGGCATTGAGTGAGCTTCACGAACCAGGCAGGAACCACTAGCACGGAGCTCCACCGTGACGCCTTCACAAGCACGAACAAGAACGGCAAAGGAGATGAGAGGGTGACGACGTCTCGAGGAGGAGAAGCAGTTGTGGGTGGTTTCCAGTTCGCAGGGTAGATAGAGTGAAAGGATCCAGGGGGATCGTGAGACTGGCCAGTTCAGAGCTAGAAATGGCAGAAGATAAACAAGGAATGCATTTGAAGCAGAGATTAGGGAAAATTTATCAAAAGGACCCACTACAATGTTTGGCCAAACGGACCAAAAACATTGAAAAAGCAGCAGGTCCTTCAACGGAATTAAGTTTGAGTGAGAAATGACTAAAATTTCCTCAAAATTTAACATTGATTAAAGAAAAAAAATAGAGAGAGAATGACATATAAGTCTCAAAAGATAAATTAATTTAAAGTGAATATCAAAGTGTTAAACTTTAAAAAAATTATAAATTGAACTATCAATTTTGTAACCTTATTGTATTATATTTACAACTTATTTTTTAAAATTTTAACGTAATTGGAAAATAAATAAGTTTGTTTTTCCGTTAAAATTTAAAATTCAAATTTCAAATTTATTATAATAAAATTACAAAATTAAAAGTCAAACTTATAAATTCTTGGGGTTTAATACTTTAAAACTTATTTTGAATTAATTGATCTCCTAAGACCTATGTGTCATTCTCCCATAAAAAATGTATAATAAGTCCCACACTAGCAAATCAATCACATTGAGACACATCATCCTTACTTTTAAATATATATTCTTTCTAGTTCTATTTATAAGTCATTTCTATCAACTTTATCAATATCAATACAATAAAAATATAAGAAATAAAAGTGAGTAAAATTTTAAACATAACCCTTAAGTAAAAAGCAAAAAATAAGCTAAATATATAGTATTATTTTTTCTGTCTCTGTCTCTCTCTCTCTTAGTTTTTAAGGGTAGTTTAGGAATTTTAATTTAAAACAAAACAATCCCATCAAAAATGACTTATAAAGTGGATCAAATTATGCTTTTAAAAGGTGACTAATATTCAAGATCAAAGGAGTATTTTTTAACACATCATTCAATTATATTTTAACACATCACTTTTATGGTTTCATTTAAATATTTTTTGGAGTATATCTTCAATGGTCTTCAATGTTTCTTTCATAATCTTTCACCCTTTTTTTTTTTGTAAAGAAAGCATTGAAGACTTTTAAAAAGTAATGAAGACTCCGGAAAAAAAATACTCCTAAAAAAAATTAAAACTCTTGATGATTACTAATGAAGATTGTTTGAAGAAACGTGGAAAAAAATTGAAGCTACTTTTTAAAAAAATTAAAAAAACTCAATCATTGATCCTCATAATTTCATCAAATTTTACTTTGAGTCTCTATACTTTTTGTAATAGTTTAAATCCCTATAATTTCAATAAAATTGGGTGACATTTGTTATGCAGGTCTCTATAATTTTAGTATTTTTAATCTCTATAAAAACTGTGAAAACTATAAAGATTAAAAGCAAAATCTAACAAAACTATAGGGATTAATAATTATGTTTTTTCAAAAAAAAATTGAAGATACATCAAAGACATTTGAATATTACTGAAAATTCTTGAAGTTTATTGAAAATTTTTTAAGAAAGGTAACTTGCGAAAAAAAAATTCTGGAACCTATATGCATGTAAGCTTTTGAAGATTAATGAAAATTCTTGAAGAAATTTGAAAAATTTTGACGATTATTAAAGACTTTTGAGGTACGAAGATATAGTTAAAGCTACTCACGCAAAATTTTTCTTAAAGATACTTCAAACACTTTTGAAGATTACTTCAAACTAAATTTTGCACCGATTTGAGGGAAATAAAAGAAAGAAGCAAGAAGATTTTAATGAATTCACTATAAAATAAGAGTGACAAGTGAGATTAAAAGATTTTAATAAAGAGCATACGCAAGAGAAACTAAAATTAAAAAAAATTAACCTTACTTCTTAATTTATTTCAGTCAAATTGATTAAAATCTTCCATCCCTGTCCTTTCATTTTCCCTCAAACGAAACATGCCATAAAACCTGATAAAAATAATTTATTTTATTTTTATTCCTTGTGATGTTTATAGTGATTAGAAAATATAAATAAACATTGGATCAGAAAAGAAAATATAAATAAACAACGACTTGTTTTATTTTAAATTTTGTTACTCCATTTATCCTCAAATATAGATAACAATTTATTTCATTCTATGAATTATTATAAAACATGCAATTCATAAATTTAAAATACGTTTTGTTTTAGAATTTGTTTATTTTTCATAATATACAAACAATTTTTTTATTTTAAAACTTGTCGTCCCATCCATATAAACTGACTTTACCTAGTGATAAAATTTCTTATTGTCGTATACATAATTGATTGTACAAAATTTCAGAATTGATTTATCATTTATGTCAGGATGTTTTACCTTAAAATTGAATTGTTTTTTATTTTGAACAGAAAAATATTAGGGTAATTCTAATAATTTTTAATATATAATTATTACAAATGACATAAGTTGTGGGGGAATAATTTTGTTTAATTTGGCGCTTATTATTCTACCATACTTCAAATCATACTTTTGTTAAAAGGTTAAAAGAAGGATTAAGAGTCTTTTTAGCCCCTAAACTTTCATGTGGGGTTTGAGGGTATTCTTAAACTCAATTTTGGATTTTTTTTGTTTTTGAACTATTACGATCCAATGCCTTATTATCCACCATTCATACATTGCTTGTTGATCATTATCTACTTAGCTAGACGTGTTTTGTTGACTTTTTTTAGGCTATGTGATAGCTAAGTTGATGCATTTTAAGATATGTTTGGTTAGGTTTTTTAACGTTGAAGGAAGAAAATGACCTAAAAAATTGAATTCAAGAAACCAAGTGTTCCTAAGAGAATATTTTAAAGGCAAGGTGGTACTATTAAATTCTGATCGAACATCCATTTAGATGTCATGTAAAAAGTTAACAAAATATGTCCAATGAAACATCTTGAATGCTTAATCTAGAAACTAATTTCTAATTAAGAGTAAATTAATAAATGAATTATTTATTTGTGAATTCGGATGGTGAATTAATATTTTGGGTTGATGGACTATTGTGTGATCAAGATTGGATGGAAGTAGAGTAGGCTGAGATCATATGGGAGAGTTAGAGTGAGATATCTCATTGTGCCATGTATCATGACATGATTCAATGCATTGTGTAACATCCTAAAAATTTAACCTCCAACAATTAAGTAATTAAGCGTCATTAATAGAATTTAAGTGGTGTGTGACCATAAAAGTCTAATGATCATATTTGATTGTGTTTTAGCCTTAATTATGGGTCCGGTATCAAGTTGAGCCTCTCGGGCATCAAAATGAGAAGAAAATGAAGAGTTAGTATTACTGTGTCACATGCTACAGGGCAGATGCACTCCATACCGCGGCACACAGACACTTCAGATGCTAGAATGGGGACCTCTCTATGCCATACACCGTGGCGCATTGCGCGTTTGCCATGGCAAACAACCATTTTCTACAATTTATCAATCGCAAACTAAGACAAAAATAGAGAGGAGAGAAAGGAGAAAACAAGGAAGGCATGCCAAGCTCTACTAAGGTTTGTTCTTAGACAACATTAGGAGTGTTTTGAAAGCCACGAACACCCAAGGTAAGTATCATGCCTTTTAGGCTATGTTTGGTTTGTAAGGAAGGGAGGGTTTTTAAGATACCTTATTTGGTTTGATTAGAGGGGAGAAGTTTTTAATGATTTTTTGTTTGGTTTAAAAAGGAAGGGAAGGGGAGGAGAGGTAATAATTAAATTACCATTATACCCTTATACAAAAATATTTTTATTTTTTAACCTTTTATCACACACATCAATTTTACATATAAACTCAAATTGTATAATTTTTTCTTAAAAATTACCCTAATCTTATCAATTTTTTTACTTCTTCACCCCAAATAAGTAAATTAAATAATACTATTAAATAATCTTATTAGTAAATTAATCTAGATATTAAACATTACTTTGAAAAAAATTAATGAAACTAATAATTTTATACCCCTAATAATTGCACGAGACAATGCTAGTCTTTAATAACAATTAAGCAATAATTGTCATCATTAATAACAAAATATATTAGGCAAGAGCATCTAACATATTGATCATTTTTAAGAACCACATTTTGAGCATTTAGCTAACAAAATATACAAAAATTATTAATAAAAGTCATCATCTAACTAGAACTATAAAACATCCTCATTATCACTTTCTTTCGTACTGGTGCTGGATATTGAGTTACTGCTCTAAGTCTATCATTATCAACCATAAGAAACTAATATATGTCAAGTAGTCTTACAGTATCAATCGCACACTCTTCAAGCATTTTCCAAATTTCTTCACTTAACAATTGTGGCATCTTCTTGAAACTTTGTCCTATCATCACATTTCCTTGTTGAATTGCCTCAACCACAGCTAACACTGCTCCTGTCAACTTATTTAAACTAGCATCCTTCTCCTTAGACACCCTCTTTGTCTTCTTGCTACATGCACTATTAATAGTGGGTAAGTGTTCTTGGTCAGGTGAGTTTTCTTGTCCATCAAACTCAACATTAATTGTGGCTTTATTTTGTGAGACAATATTGTTAATGTCATTGACAGTTTCAATGACTTCTTCCTAAGAACGACGTCACTTTCTCCACTCACGTGCTGTCTCACCCTCATCTCTATTAGCTCTATCTACTTCATATAACATCATCATTTTTTCATAGTTTGAAAAAAGAGTAGTTCTCCACAATGTTGCTTTAGGTTTAGCATGAAACAAGTGAAATTACAAAAGCAATTCAATTGCAAATGCACACTTTTCCATTTTCAAAGATCATTAAACAAGTATAGCTATGAATATGTAGGAAATTACAAAAGAATAATATAATCAATACATATGTAAGAAATTTACCTCAATTAATGCATCCCAAACTTCAAGCTCAGCATCTCATACTTGACTTATTGAATTTCAAGTGAACCTACTCAAACTTTTAAAAATGTCATAAACATCTGAAAAGTTTCTCTTTAAAGTCTTCCATCAATTTTTCACCTTTTTCTTGTCAATTTGTTTACCAAACAAAGCACTCAAATATTTACATATGTTATCATAAACTGTAGTGGTAAAAGTGCCATTAACTTTATGACCCTCATTATATTCATTCA